ATACAACTGTTTTATTTTACAGATTAAAAAAGAATAATCAGCAGCTCAGGCGCTGTATAAGAGCTGCCATAAGCGCTGAATTAAAATATCGGCTGCTATAGCGCCGAATTCTGGCTGCCCTAGGCGCCTAATTAGAAAAATCTGATTTGTGATACTTGCATTACAAGGTTGCTCTAAGCGCTGTATATCTATAAATAAAACTGTTCCAAGCGTCAATTGAAAATGGATCAATGTCACAAATTTTATTACGGTAATACGGAAAGAAACATTTTGGCTTCCAAAGAATGGTTGACGGAAACGATAATAGATAGTTTCCATGCGCTACTCGAAAGAAATTCTGATTATGCACCTCAACCTGTATGGCTGACAATATTTCCCGATCAGATTGTTCCACTCGATAATTCAAAAAAGAAGCATTTGCAAATATTGCACAGTGATTTCGGTGGCGGACATTGGATTACTTGCCATTATGACGCAAAGTCTGTTATTATATATGATTCTCATGAAGGCAGTCGTAATGCAAATATACAACATTTGAATGAAAAAATTCGAATTTTTGTGGAGAGATTATTTCCCTTTTATGATTTTCAAAACAATTCGATAGTTTTTCCTAAAGTTTAGTTGCAAGGCGACAGTTATAATTGTGGTCCTATGGCAATTGCGATTGCTACATCGATTCTGTTCGGCATAAATCCTTGCATCGTGACGTATGATCGATCTTTGCTAAGACCTCATTTAGCCGCCACGTTTGCAAGACAAACAATAAGTCATTTTCCATACCTCTGTAATACAACTACTTCATTAACACTATTGCCTTTGGAGACATTGAAAAAACGAGAGGCGAATGCACTGAGAAAAAGACTTGTACGTAGCAAAGAAACTGAAGAACAGCGTTCGAAACGATTAGAAAAGGATGCTATTTCTCACAAACAAAAATATGTTATGAATCCTGAAACAAAATGTCAGAAGATGTGTGATTTGTACAAAAAAAATCCTGAAACAAAACGTCAGAGAATGCGTGATACATACAACAAAGATTCTGAAGGATTGCGTAAAAGAAGGCATCAAATCGATGAATATCAAAAAGATTTAGAAAATAAACGGTACATTAAAAGAAAAAATTATTTGAAAAATGCTGCCCGTGAAAACGACCGCCAACAAAAATTCAGACAAAAACATTCCGACTCAAAAAAATTGTATAACAAAAAGTGCAACGCAAAACGTGGCGAGAAATCCATCGTACAAAGATTGAAGACGTTCAAGAGATTAAAGAAAAAATTCAATACTGTTCGATTTTGGCAAAAGTGTTTTAACTTTTCAAAATTCTCAGAGTTATATATTCGACAGACGTCGAAGAAAATTAATAAATCAACCACGTGTGCTCGATTGGAAGCTGAACAGATATTCAAGTGGTGCATGATAGCAAAAAAGTCGTACGTTAGGGCAGCAAGAAAAGTGTTTTCGTATTTGAAAAATGTTGCTGAAGCTGCGTTATTGCGATTCAATGAGTGTAAGATTTTGAAATGTCCGAAAAGCGATCGAATTAGAGCTCTTTGTGGCTCATCCAAACATACTTCGTCTTCCGAAGCGTATTTTTATGAAACTGCTTACGAGCAAAAGAATAAGTTTGAGCAACCACTTATAACAGCACAATCCTTTCCTCATGCAGTGATCAATGTTTTGCCGTTAATAGATAACAATAATAAAAAATTAAAAATATGGCACTGTGATGAGAATAAATGCCGCATAAGTGATATTTCCGTGGAAAAGTTTGTACAACTTTTAGAACAGTTTGAAAGAAGTACTTTGAAGAATATAATGAATGATAAATTCATGGCGCAGCTCAAAAATTGTACAGTTTCACATACGAGTAGCAGATTAGGACATCCTGCGGAATGCTATGCAAATTTAAATCTTTGCAAGTCATACGTTGCGACGATAAGCACTTTATCGCCTCATTTTCCTTTCGTGAGGAATATTCGAAGAAATGTCTATAAATTGATAGACGATTATAAAAAGCTTCGTCATTTGTTTTCAGCTTTAAAATTTCTTAATATAAATCAATTGCTTGAAATTTCCAATGATATAAAAAATAAAATATGATTTTATGAAAAAAAATTAACTGATGTTAGTTTGATCGAGGAAAAGATTTTCTCGCAAAATTACGAAGCGTTTAAAGTTATGAAAAAGCGATTGTTGGATACGCCACGTTTACCTTGTATCTCTTACGAAAAATTATGTATGAGTAGTGACGTTTCTGAACTCAAGAAGCTTAGAAAACAAGTAGAGGGACCATTTTGGAAAAATCTGATGGCTTACGTAACAGAACACAATAACAATACTGGATTTATTTGTAAGCTTTGTTTGGAGAAATTTCGGAAAGGTATGTGGTCTTCTACTTGCGTTTTGAATAATCTTGCCGTAAAACCATTACCAGATGTTTTGTCGGATTTCAATGATTACGAAAAAATGTTAATCAAGAGAATGAGCAGCTTCCAAGTAGTGCAAATGATGGGCGCTGTTTCGAACAAACATATGCCGTACAGAAAAATGATCCGCAAAGTACATGGTAGAACATTTCATTTGCCTCTGCCTTTACAAGAAACATTAGATAAGGTATGTTCTCCGGAAGATCCTATAAATTTGAATCACGAGTTGCACATCCTCGTTCGAGGTATACCCAAAAAGTCAAAAGTTGTTTGGGAAAATTTAGTGGATATTAATAAAGTGTATAAGGCTTTACAATGGTTGAAAGACAATAATCTCCACTATTCGGAAATTCGCCTTCCAGCGTCGTCTGATGATTTATTAAATGATAAGTTGCAAGAAACAGAATATCAAATCGTCGATGATGAAGACGATGGCGACGATGAAATAAACGAGGTGATTGAGGACACTGTACAGTACAATAAAGATAATAATAATCAAACAGTTTCGAAACGTAAGGCTTTCTTGACACAAATCACCAAAGATTCGGATATTAATGATCAGTATACAATATATCCAATGCACGCGAAAAGGATCGACAACGAATCTGCATTCAAACTTTATCAAATGTTGAAAATCGAAGATGTTCCAGTGGATAATCGTTATAAATATTTGGACGTCATGTGTTTTCCCGATTTATATCCCGAAGGTGTCAATGGACAACGAGAAGATAGAAATGTTGCATTGCCGGATTATTTATTCATCAGAACGCGATTGATGTCGAAACACAGTAGATTCAGATTGAATCTGCAGTATCTGTTCTTCCTTCTCAACGATGCTAACTACCGACAATTGAAAAACGGTATCTATTATACGATGATGGTTGCTAACCCACGAAAGAGATACACTGCTGGTAGATATTTGAAGCAATTGAAAGACGAACAATTGGAATCGAATTTAACGAGTATTTTCACAAAATTAAGAAATACGGATCAGTTTTGGCGACAACCGTCCAATAATGTAAAATGCATGACTCTGCATTACGGCCCGGCGACGTGGTTTTTGACTTTGAGTCCTAGTGAATGGAAATGGTCCGATTTGGGTGAATATTTACGAGACATGAATCCCGATAAAAAAAAGTTGTGCATCAGTGAACTAATCGCATATGATCCTGTAAGCACGTCTAGATTCATGTGCATAAAATTCAAAGCCATGATTGATTTTATATGTTCGACCGATAACCCAATAGGAGAGGTTATTCACTACTTCTGGCGACTAGAATATCAAACTAGAGGTATCCAGCACATGCATTGCATGATTTGGATAAAAGATGCTCCTGTGCTGGGAAAATCGCCAGATGAAGAAGTAGCTACGTTCATTCAAAAATACGTTACGTGTGCAATTCCAGATGAAAACGTTTCGCCAACATTGTACGAAACGGTTATAAGTGATCAGAATCATAAACATAACTCGTATTGCATGCGTACAAAAAAAACCAAAACAAATATTTACAAAAAGTGTCGGTTCGATTTTCCTCGGCCAGTTACTAAAAATTTCATTTTAAGAGATGTCGTCACTTCGATAGTGGGTAGAAAAAATTTACGCAGTAAGAGCAGATTGTACGATCTTCCTCGCAAGAAGTCGGAAAGGTTTATCAATGATTATAATCCGGCTATCAAATTGGCTTGGGAGGGAAATATGGACATACAATTTATTGGAGAAAAGTCAGAGTTTTTAAACTCATATTTAACAAAATATACGACAAAGTCGGAAAAATGCAACATAGACTTTGCAATGATAGATTCCAATAAGCCCTTGGCATCGAAATTGTGGAATTTTGCGATGCGTTCTTTGAATAACAGAGAATGCGGTGCTTTAGAAGCTGCGGATACACTATTAGGGAATCCCTTGTACGGTACGGTACGTGATACCATTGTCAAATGGATCGACGTCAATGAGGTGAGAAACAGAAAAGTTAAAACGTTCAATGAAATTGAAGCTCTCGATGAAAATTCTACGAATATCTATTGTCCGTCGCTCATCGATGACTACTATCCAAACAGACTAAGGAATTAGAATCATTAAATTTGTATGATTTTGCCAGATTCTGGGAAATTACGAAACGGATGCCAAAAAGTGAGGAAATCGAATATTACGAACTGGTATCGGGTTTATTTGTAAAGAAACGAAAAAAGTGTTATTTAATTAACCATTATCGATTTAATGTAAAAACTGAACCTGAAAAGTACTTTTACTCGCTACTTCTTCTGTTCAAACCATGGAGAGATTTGAGTGAACTCAAAGGTACATGGGAGACTTACACGGATGCCTTTAAGAATTCAGAGTCTGCTTTAACGAAGGCAATGAAATATCATGAAAGGCTCGAAGAAATACAAAAAGCTTTTGAAAACATTGCTGAATTAATGGAGAAGCGCGAAAATGATCTGAAAACGGCAGACGGAGACAAATTCGATGACGATGAATTGGATTGTCATCCGATAGAAGCTGACGGCGCGATGAAAGATTTGTAAGATTTTGGCAAGATTGACGTGCCGATTAATTTACCGCAAATGATGTCGCGATTGAACGAAGATCAGAAAAGAGTCTTCGACAAGGTATGTCAAGTTTTACAAAATAAAAATCAGATTCTGCGATTGTACGTAAGTGGCGAGGGTGGTACAGGGAAAAGTTTTCTTATTGAAACGATCAAACATTGGATCAGAATAAATTTGAAAAAAGCGACTGCGATATCTGCTCCCACGGGTATCGCAGCATTCAATACCGATGGCTTGACAATTCATAGAATGTTTCAGTTGCCCGTCACTCATGAATCTACGCCAAAGTACGTGCAATTGTCAGACATGGTCCTAAAAACTTTGAGAGACAAATTGAAGAATGTCGAACTATTTATAATCGATGAAGTATCCATGATTTCGAATGTAACACTTATGTTTATCAATCTACGATTATGTGAAATCTTTGATACGATAGATACGGATGATGGTTTCTTTGGCAGAAAATACATTCTTTTGTTTGGAGATTTATTGCAGCTTTCCCCTGTAAAAGGACAATCTCCGTTCGTTAAAATGTCTCAATCAGAGGTTCAAAAGTATTTAGGTACCATGGGCGGATCTGATTTGTGGAGATTGTTTGATTACGACGAACTCTTGATCAATATGCGACAAAGATCCGACAACACATATCGCGATATACTTTCTAGAATACGAATAGGTTTGATAACAAATTTTGACATTAATGTTCTTCAGTCAAGGAAAATCAATTTCAAAGAAAGTAATTGCGACGAAAGATTGAATGAACTTTGCATTTATATGAATCAATTACCGATTGATACAATATGTTTATTGCCCACGTGTTATTTGTGTAAGGTTTTAAACACGGCAATGCTCGATAGAGTCGACGGCGATGAAATTCTATTGATAGCGGAAGATGATGTCGACTGCGGTCCAGCAATGAAAAAAAAAGTGCAAAAAACCCTGGAAGACAAAGATGACAAAGTTTCGGAAACAGCTGGTATTGAAAGAGTTATAGCGATTAAAATTGGCGCTAAAGTGATGATTCGACGAAACATTGACGTAACTCTGGGACTTGTCCAATGGAACGATAGGCAATGTAGTTGCAGTTAATCGCGCTGCTGACGGAAATTGTATTGATTCTATCAAAGTAGCTACTTCGAATAACAAAGAATTCATAATAACAAAAGTAGATATTAAATTCGAGGTATTTCACAAAATAGTAGTACATCGGAAACAATTTCCATTGTCCCTCAGTTACGGAATAACTATACACAAGAGTCAAGGAATTACGTGTAAGAATGCAATGATGGATCTGGGAACCACTGTATTCAGCAATGGCCAAGCCTATGTAGGTTTGTCACGAGTGAGTACATTGGAAGGCCTACATTTGATAAACTTCAATCCGGCATCGGTTAAAGCACACTCGGGAGCCATTGCAGAATATAATCGACTGAGATCTTTGTTCAAATCTCAGCTACCACAAATTAATTCGTCCGAGAAAAAGACTGTAAAAGTTCACGATCGTCGATGGGCCATACCTAATATTATTGATGATGTACAGAATTATGGTTGTGAGGAACCAGAAAGTGTAGTTACGTGGAAAATTTACGGCCTTCGTAATAACGATAATGTTTCGTGTTACGCTAATGTAATATTGCAATGTGCATTTTATTGCGTGCGTATCAGGCAACAAATACTGAAAAATAAAGCATCGAACGCACTGACTGATGCTATATGCGCGTATGCTGAGCGTAAATATTGCAACGTTCAAGCGGTTAGAAGATCTGTCGGAAAACGCTTCGAAGAACAAACACAACAAGATGCTTCGGAATTTTTTATATCTCTAATGTCGATGTATTCCGAAATCAATGATGTATTGGAATTCGAATTGAAGCACGTAACATGTTGCTCGAATGCTAAATGTAATTACACGGTAACTACGCTGGAAAAGAGTTGTTTGCTAATATTACCTATACAGTCAACATTAAAAAGGAAAAAAGGTGTCACGTTACAAACTTTGATTGATTTGGAATTTTCGAAATGGGAAACGATAAACGGCAATTGTAACGAATGTATGGGTACCGTTCTGAAAAAGAAAACCGTAATCGAATCGACTTTATCCGTCTTAGTAATACAGCTCAATTTATACACTTTAGTGAACGGTGTTTCTAAAAAAGTTATTAACAATCGTATCAACGCCGTACCGACTAAACTAATATCGCGATTAATAAAAAAAAGTACAAGGTAATAAGCGCTATATTTCACGAAGGCGAAGAAATGAATCGTGGTCACTACATGTGTATGTTGAGAATAGACAAAAAATCGGAATGGTACTGCTCTAATGACATGAAAGTTGTTAAAAACAAATGGCCCAAAGGAGCACAAGGGGCGTACATATTGTTCTTGGAGCAGATTAAGTAAGTTTAAAAATAACTAACAATTAATGACACTTTCTTAGAATGTAACGGATTTCTTTTACAGCACGTTTACATGAACCTTAATAAACTATTGAAATTGATCATTTTAGTCATTTAATGTTATTTTTCAAATTCGGAACATTATAACAAGTAATCGCCTGTTCTGGCAGTGTACAAAGGCTGCCGTAAGCGCCAAAATAAAATATCGGTTGCTCTGGTGCTGTATTAAGGCTGCCGTAAGCGCCGCATTAAAATATTGAATGCAATAAAGTTCTAGCTTGTTTCAGACCTCCAATTAAAAATATTATTTTTGGATCTATTACGTGTCCAAACAAAAATGCGATAGCTGCAATAACGCTGAAATCGGGCTTGTCCTAGGCATCCAATTAGAAAAATTTGATGTAGAATTCTATACCTTAACTACTCGTTTGAGGTGATTCGTGATGCTTGCATTACTATTATAGAAGGCTACCCCAAGCGCCGTACATATATGTACTTTAAAAAGTAGGTGATATCCCATAAAAATTCATAAATGAAAAGATCAAGCCATGTTCAAAAAGAGACCCTCAAAAATTTAATGAATATCTAAATTTAACAATATATTACCATGAAAAGTAACTGATATATTATTCAAAGTGCCAGTTCAAAATAAACATCTAATAATATATTATCATAAAAAGTAACTGATATTATTCAAGGTACCAGTTCAAAGTGAACATAGAGTGTATATTATGTAAATTTAATAATATATTACCATAAGATGTAACTGATTGTATATTATTCAAGATGCAAGTTTAAAATGAACATACATTTATAGAGTGTATATAAGTAAAAATGATTAAAACTTGAATCGAGAAAGTAAAGACCTGTTATTCTTAGTGCACAAAATATAAAAATCATTTATTTAAGTTTGATTAGAAAATTTATACCAGCCTAGACAATGAAAAATATAATTGCTTGTAATTCCAGAGTATCAATTTGTTGATGACTCGGAAAAAGAACATGGCGGCCTGCTCTCAAAAAACTTTCGATGGATAGAATAAATAATTGCATAAAAATTGAATAGAATTTGATAAAAATTTTGAAAATTGTTTAGATGTTCTTTTTCCGAATCATCAACAAATTGATACTCTGGAATTACAAGCAATTATATTTTTCATTGTCTAGGCTGGTATAAATTTTCTAATCAAACTTAAATAAATGATTTTTATATTTTGTGCACTAAGAATAACAGGTCTTTACTTTCTCGATTCAAGTTTTAATCATTTTTACTTATATACACTCTATAAATGTATGTTCATTTTAAACTTGCATCTTGAATAATATACAATCAGTTACATCTTATGGTAATATATTATTAAATTTACATAATATACACTCTATGTTCACTTTGAACTGGTACCTTGAATAATATCAGTTACTTTTTATGATAATATATTATTAGATGTTTATTTTGAACTGGCACTTTGAATAATATATCAGTTACTTTTCATGGTAATATATTGTTAAATTTAGATATTCATTAAATTTTTGAGGGTCTCTTTTTGAACATGGCTTGATCTTTTCATTTATGAATTTTTATGGGATATCACCTACTTTTTAAAGTACATATATGTACGGCGCTTGGGGTAGCCTTCTATAATAGTAATGCAAGCATCACGAATCACCTCAAACGAGTAGTTAAGGTATAGAATTCTACATCAAATTTTTCTAATTGGATGCCTAGGACAAGCCCGATTTCAGCGTTATTGCAGCTATCGCATTTTTGTTTGGACACGTAATAGATCCAAAAATAATATTTTTAATTGGAGGTCTGAAACAAGCTAGAACTTTATTGCATTCAATATTTTAATGCGGCGCTTACGGCAGCCTTAATACAGCACCAGAGCAACCGATATTTTATTTTGGCGCTTACGGCAGCCTTTGTACACTGCCAGAACAGGCGATTACTTGTTATAATGTTCCGAATTTGAAAAATAACATTAAATGACTAAAATGATCAATTTCAATAGTTTATTAAGGTTCATGTAAACGTGCTGTAAAAGAAATCCGTTACATTCTAAGAAAGTGTCATTAATTGTTAGTTATTTTTAAGCTTACTTAATCTGCTCCAAGAACAATATGTACGCCCCTTGTGCTCCTTTGGGCCATTTGTTTTTAACAACTTTCATGTCATTAGAGCAGTACCATTCCGATTTTTTGTCTATTCTCAACATACACATGTAGTGACCACGATTCATTTCTTCGCCTTCGTGAAATATAGCGCTTATTACCTTGTACTTTTTTTTATTAATCGCGATATTAGTTTAGTCGGTACGGCGTTGATACGATTGTTAATAACTTTTTTAGAAACACCGTTCACTAAAGTGTATAAATTGAGCTGTATTACTAAGACGGATAAAGTCGATTCGATTACGGTTTTCTTTTTCAGAACGGTACCCATACATTCGTTACAATTGCCGTTTATCGTTTCCCATTTCGAAAATTCCAAATCAATCAAAGTTTGTAACGTGACACCTTTTTTCCTTTTTAATGTTGACTGTATAGGTAATATTAGCAAACAACTCTTTTCCAGCGTAGTTACCGTGTAATTACATTTAGCATTCGAGCAACATGTTACGTGCTTCAATTCGAATTCCAATACATCATTGATTTCGGAATACATCGACATTAGAGATATAAAAAATTCCGAAGCATCTTGTTGTGTTTGTTCTTCGAAGCGTTTTCCGACAGATCTTCTAACCGCTTGAACGTTGCAATATTTACGCTCAGCATACGCGCATATAGCATCAGTCAGTGCGTTCGATGCTTTATTTTTCAGTATTTGTTGCCTGATACGCACGCAATGAAATGCACATTGCAATATTACATTAGCGTAACACGAAACATTATCGTTATTACGAAGGCCGTAAATTTTCCACGTAACTACACTTTCTGGTTCCTCACAACCATAATTCTGTACATCATCAATAATATTAGGTATGGCCCATCGACGATCGTGAACTTTTACAGTCTTTTTCTCGGACGAATTAATTTGTGGTAGCTGAGATTTGAACAAAGATCTCAGTCGATTATATTCTGCAATGGCTCCCGAGTGTGCTTTAACCGATGCCGGATTGAAGTTTATCAAATGTAGGCCTTCCAATGTACTCACTCGTGACAAACCTACATAGGCTTGGCCATTGCTGAATACAGTGGTTCCCAGATCCATCATTGCATTCTTACACGTAATTCCTTGACTCTTGTGTATAGTTATTCCGTAACTGAGGGACAATGGAAATTGTTTCCGATGTACTACTATTTTGTGAAATACCTCGAATTTAATATCTACTTTTGTTATTATGAATTCTTTGTTATTCGAAGTAGCTACTTTGATAGAATCAATACAATTTCCGTCAGCAGCGCGATTAACTGCAACTACATTGCCTATCGTTCCATTGACAAGTCCCAGAGTTACGTCAATGTTTCGTCGAATCATCACTTTAGCGCCAATTTTAATCGCTATAACTCTTTCAATACCAGCTGTTTCCGAAACTTTGTCATCTTTGTCTTCCAGGGTTTTTTGCACTTTTTTTTTCATTGCTGGACCGCAGTCGACATCATCTTCCGCTATCAATAGAATTTCATCGCCGTCGACTCTATCGAGCATTGCCGTGTTTAAAACCTTACACAAATAACACGTGGGCAATAAAC